TTCTTTTGACAAAAGGATGAAGTCTCTATCTGTCAGGGAAGCCGAGATATTGCAAAATAAAAAAGGTCTTCAACTTTTGAACAGCACTTTTTATATAAAAATTAACCCGGTCCTGAAAGGGTTAATTTACAATGAATATCATTATCTCGATGAGATAGAGATGTACGACATTGTCTCCAAATGTCTTTGCCGTGATACAACACTGTATGAATAACAAGTGATGACAACCAAGCAAATCTAATTCCATACGATAGTGTTCTACTGGTAGACATATAGAATGGACCATATTCTCCATAGGCAGTTTCGTTCAGGAGAGAATTCTTATCAAGAATGGCAGTTAGGTCATACTGATTACCGTTTGAATCGTATAACTTATTGCTAGCAATAGGAAACATTTTCGAGTTCCATATATTTGTATAATAGAGAATAGGAGTAAGTATCCAAACAAAGATAATAAAACCACAAAGAATATTGATTTGTGCATATTGTGGAACAACTATTGGGGATAGTATGCGAACTGTCATCGTCTGCCAATCAAGTACAAGTGAACCCATCGCAAGACTATTGACACCGGTTAATTGTGACAGAATACTATTGCTTGGTTGCGTCATACAAATAGATGAAAACGCAGCCAACACAGGCATGATATAGCCAGGTAACCAATAATAAACACTTTGACACAAAGCAGCAATTATAAAGAACCTTAAACGACCCATTTTAAGCGTTTCTAAACTGTTGTATGATTGCTTATGTAGAGCTCGAAATAATGCAATTGAAGGTAAATTTCCGGGCCAGATCAATGAAGAAGGCCATACTAAAACACGGCGCATGATGCCTGAAAATCAAGAACAAAGTACATACTTGAAGACTGAATGAATGCTCAGTCACCCAATACGAAATCTTCAACCAAGTTCTTGAGAAATCTGTAAAGATTTCTCGGGGTTCTGATTTGATAATTCAAGATCTTGTGTAGACTTTAGAAAATCTTGAAAAACACCCAGGAAAGATAAAGGATACAAATTTGCACTCATATGTAGAGGACAATTTGGGCTGTAATACGATGGATGGGTATTCTTGTCTTTAAAAAATTCGTTCGTCTTATCATCTTTAGGCAAAATATCAAACAGATTATTCTTTTCAGCAGGTGATTTTCTCTGGTGTCCAGTGTAAACTAGCAAAATTTGCATATTTTTATCTTTTACTATCCAAATTATTCGAAAACAGTGTTGTGTGTACAAATTATTCGAGTGCATTGCGATTTTTTTACAGCCTAGGAAGTAAAGGCATAACGTGCAAAGTTATCAGCTTCAATACTGACGAGGGAAGATCTCCAAGTGACAAATCCAAAATTTGACCGGAAAGTTAGTGGACAATAGGTAATCGAGTCCTGATTCCGAATACCACAATGATTTGGGCCGACAGGTCTCTGGAGACTCCGGTTTTTCAGAAACTCTAAAAAAGAACCAAAACCTTTCTTAATAAGGCCTGACTGTAGCGTGCACATTTCTGATTAAAATGAGACATCTCTCAGCTCTACACGACCTTTCTTTGCAAAGTTATAGAATTTACAACAAAAGCCCTAAATAATTTTCTTCGTATTTCTTAGCTTTGAGTTGACAATGAACATTTAGGGCTTTTCTTGTGAATTCTATAACTTTGCAAAGAAAGGTCATGTAGTGCTTGGAGATGTCTCATTTTAATCAGAAATGTGCAGGTTACAGTCAGGCCTTATTAAGAAAGGTTTTCGTTCTTTTTTAGAGTTTCTCACAAACTGGTTTCCCTAAAACCGGGATCTCCAGAGACCTATCGGCCCAAACCATTGTGATATTCGGAATCGGGACACTCGATTACATATTGTCTACTAAGTTTTCGGTCAAAACGGATTTGCCACTTCGGGACCTTCTCCCTCGTGAGTTCATCCATATCGTTTTCTGCCGGTTATGATTTATTCTTACCATTCTGATTAACCAGCTGTTTTTATATAGGAGAAAAAAATCTCTTTACCTGCTATGCCTAATCCCATTAGTTGTGTGGAAATAATAAAGATCGTTCCGATTGCAAAGTTTACCGTTTCTTTAGTAAAAACTCGCTTAGTATCAAAAACAGCCAATGCATATGGTAAAGTTAAAAAAGAAGAAGAAGCCATTGAATAAACAAGTACATGTTCTTTGATAGTAAATTTACCAGGATTCAATGAAAAATGCCAATTCCAAATCTTAATTGTTTTTTTGGGTAAAATGTATGCTAATGAAATACCAAACGGGTACGACAATAGAAGTACAAATATCGGATCAAATGATATAGCGTCACTCGCATAGTAATAGTATTGATTCATAACTGTGAATCCACAAGTGAATACGAGACCAATCAACCAACTTCTAAATGTTAAACATAACATTTCTCGATCGTCTGTGTTTGGTATAATATTAGCTACTTCTTCAAATGATGATTGTTCTGCATCAATATAAATATTATGTGCATCCACCGTCTCTCCTGATCTTTCATTCATTTCATGCATTTGACTTCTAGTAGGCATAGATCGATTATTGTAAACAATATTTTAATCTAAGTAAAGAAATGTATCTTGAAAAGTCTTGCAGTAGGAACTATTCAGACAAAAGTTGAGTAATGCTTATACTGAGGCTTTTGAGTGAAAAATGGCATAAATGTACATTTGTCAATATTAGGTTGCACTAACATTTTTGAATGGCAGCCACAGATACCATCAACAGATTTTATTCTTTTAGAAAAAAGCCTCTCCATCGAGATATAAAAGATAAAGAGTTATCTGAACCGTTATCACACTACGATATATCATGATAAAATGTTATAATGTTATATATGGTGATAGCTTTTTTTTCGAGATATCTCGTTATATCGATGACTCACCAATGTATCCAAGTAAAACGTAACTCATCGACACATAGAAGCGTTACAGCGAGTTCGATAATTTTTCTATTGAGATGGTAGCAGCCGAATAAGACATGCCTTTGAGATATTTTTCACTTTATGCCGTTATTCAAAAGGCCAAATACTAAGCTAGTTCCTTTCTTTATTTTTATTTATTTACTCAGGTTAACAGTTTTTAAATGAAGGAACGAAAACAGAATATCTGTAAAAGTCACCTCTCAAGCTGAAAAAACGAAAAAATCTACCCAAAAATATATACAGAAAAAGTATGAAAATTCATAAGTAATAG